TGCTTAAAGATAGATTTTATAGATGTGATACATGTTTACAAGAGGCATTCTTCACTTTAGATAATGCTAAATACTGGTATTTGGTTTTCATTTATGATTTTATGTATAAATGCATGATGTTAATCGTTTTCATTTCATTGAAGGTGATACTGATTCATCTTATTGGGCAATCGCTGGCGACCCAAATCTTCCTAACACTCAAGCATTTCAAGCAATTGTTACCGATAAACAATTTTATGATAAAAACATTTTCAAATTCGCATTTTTGATTTCTTCTGTTTTGATGAGAAATTTAAACCTAAATTAAAGAATAAAGCTGAAGAAAAAGCACATGAGAAGAAGTTATTGGGTTTAGCAATTGAGAAACAAGGTGATAACATGGTTGCTTTATGCCCTAAGTGTTATACATCATTCAACGGTTCAATTGATGGAAGTGATTTTAAAAAGATTGCACAAAAAATGAAAGGTGTTAGTTTACGACAAAATAAACAATTAACACCTAAAAATTATTTGGATATAATAAATGATAAAGTGATATTTGATGGTCAGAATATTAATTTACAACTTAAAAACGGGTCAATGACTCGCTTAACAATCGGTAAGACTGCATTAACAGGAGCACACACTAAGGCTGTATGTTGTGAAAATGGATGTTGTATGCCATTTATTTAATACAATTTAAAATTTTATTTTTAATAAAATGCCACAGAAGAGACAAAAGGAACCGAATAGATTTATACCAAATGGTTTTAACTTTCAGATTCCAAATAATCAACCAAACGAATTTTTCAAATCCCACCACAGCATCAACAGCCGCAACAACGACCACCACCACACAACCACCACGGAGAAGAACATTCACCCCTGAAGAAAGAAATTTCAATAATTTGATGCGTCAACAAAATCAAGGTTTGAGATTTTATCCGGGTAGTAATGGTATACATATAAGGCATCCAAATTTAGATAGAAGATATACCGCTGAGATTCATATTTTACCTAATAATACGGTTAATTTTGCTGGATTTTATGATCATCATCAGGAAATCTGGACTCCACCATTTGATACCGTTTTAGAAGGAGGAACCGTTAATGATGCGATTCAATATGTAAAATAATGGTTTTGATACTATGATTCAAAGAGGTGGGCACCCTTAAAACATTTATTTTATTTTTATATAAATGGATAACGCAGATTTAGAAAATTTAATTGATGATTTAGTACTTAATCAAAATTTTCTTAATTATTATGAATTAAAATCATATCTCCAAAAACATAATAAAAATATAACGGGTGATGATATGGATTATTATTATTCCATATTATAAAAATGAAATTTTGAAATATCATGATAAAATAATTTCTGAAATTAAAGACAAAATTAAAAATAATGAATATACAAAGGGAAAAACTAAATCACAACTTAAACAGTTGAAAGATTTCAAAAATAAAGTATTAACAGAAGAAGATATTGATGAATTATATAAATTATATAATCCTGAGCCGCAAAAGCCAAAGGAACAAAAACAAAAGAAGAAAAAGCCGAAAACAACACCAAAAGAAGAAAGTAGCAAATGTTCAACAGCTAAAGGTGCAAAACGCCCAGGTCCTTCAGACCATAAATGAAGCACAATGCTTTAATTTATGATTCATTAGTTAAACCATATTCAGCCCGACTTTTAAATGAAGATCAACTTTGGAATTCATCCTTCAACATAAACTCGAAGCGGGAAAGTATATCAAGCCTTTATATACAGCATATTTAAAACAAATGAATAGAATACATCCAGAATTAATGAAAGGAAAATCAACAACTAAAACTTCATCATCCCAAAATCAAAGCAGATAAAATTAAACCACTTGCAACACCAAAACCTCCAACGACAGTAACCTCCTCCTTCAGTTAATCCTTCATCATTCACTTTATTATATCCATTTCAAACATTAAAGAAGCAAAAAGATTTTAAAAAGGATTTCAAGATATTAAATAAACCAATTGACCCGAAAATTCAACCGTTAAAGGAAAAATTTAGTCGCCCTTCATTTGCACCATATCCATATTCATACGAAATCGATCATCTGGAATATTCAAAAGGAAACCTTACTTATTTATTTGCCATTAACATTAACACTAGATATTTATATTCGCATTCCAGTGAAAAGGGAAAACAGAACAGGAAACAAAGAAGAGCTATTCAATACTTACTAGATCATGAAAGAGTAGATAATATAAGGGGTGATGGTGATAAAGGATTTCAGGCAGCTATGGCTCATTATTTCCCACAAATTAATTTTTACTTCTCATCTTCTCCATATACGTTTCATAATAAAATAGTTGATGCGGTAATGAGAACTCTTAGAGATGCGTTAGGGGTTAACGGTCAGATATACTGGGATGGAAATCATGACTCCATCATACAGCAGTTAGTATATTATTACAATAATACATGGCATAGAACTATAAACATGAAACCAGTGGAAATGAAAAATGATATTTCAAAAGAATGGGAATATATTAGAAAGCAAATGGAAAGGTTAAATGATGTTAAACGTGAACAAATTAATTCGGGGCTCATGAATTTTAAACAAGGGGATAAAGTTTTGATTCATCTCGATTATGGAAAAACTAATAAATCAATGACAAAAAAAGACGAAGATTTGACACAATAGCTGAATTTGTTAGATATATTAACGGCAATGCATTAGTTGAAGTTGACAATAAATTAATAGAAATTCCGATTTTTTTATTACTCCATTATATTTAAATAATATTTAATTTTTTTATTTCGTAAGAAATGAGTGACAACAAAGCAGCCAAGAGTCCTGATTCAATTAAGATTCAGAGTCCAGACAATGAATATAAAAAGAAACTAAACAGAATTAAATCAAAAATATGCTATTACAAAAAGAAGCCGCAATGCGGTGGGGCTGATGCCATAAAACTAAAGTAATTGAAAACGATAAAGAGAGGAAAGAAATAATCGAAAAATTAGAAACTTACCGTTCAATCCTTAACTGAGTGAAGCAAAAATAAAGAATTTAATAGAATAAATAAATTGATTGGAAGAGATGAATTTAATAAAGATGAATTTTTAAACTCAATCCAAATTTAATTTTTATTCCTCTTCGACAACGTCTCTTCGAGACGCCGAACCCTTCTGGGTTCTTCTTTCCATCATTACTGCATAACCGCATCTTCTCGGTTTTCGTGGTTTGTTGTTTTTAATTCGTTCTTGCATCATTTTTATCATTTCCTCCCTTGTTATGATTCGTGGTAAATTTTGAGCTTGTGGGGTATCCATTTATATAAAAATAAAATTTTGTTATCAGTTATTTTATCATCATTTTATTAAGTTCATCTTTAGTTAATTTGAATGGATTCGCTAATGTTCCACCTTGAGCCACAACACTTGCCCCGGCTAATTGTGAAGAACCTGGGATAAGTACTCCATGAAATGATTTCATTGGTATCATTAATTTAGAAATAGTTGGCTTAATTAATTTTGTCATTTATGATAAAAATAAAATTGCATAATTTAAATTTTTTTCTTTCTCATTTTCTCATTTTCTCATTTTCTCATTTTTCTCTTTTTCATTCTGTTTTGGTTTCAGTAACTTTAATTTTAACTTTGGATCAAATATTGGGTTTCCATCTTTATCTCTTCCAATAACACCATATGGTAGAATCTTCATTTATACTAAAATAAAAATTTAAATTATGCCGTTCTAAAGTTTGTGAAACAAACATTGAGCGTTCATTGAACACGAAACCATGCATAAACTGTCATATAAGGTGGCATATAATCTTCACCCGAGCCTGTTGGATTTGTTGTGAAAGTATGGACATGATTTCCTCCTGGTTCAGTTGGTCGAAAAGTTTTTTTTGCTGAATTGTTATAAGATGGAGATAAAACGTCATTGCCAGCTTTATAGTCTGAGTTGTATAATGGGTGGTCTCTTAATGAGTGGCTATGGTCGCCAGAAAAGTTTGTCGTTTCTTTATGAGTGTGCGCAGGTAAGTTTGCTTCTTTAATTTTCTTTGAGCCTCCTGTTTGCTTTGAAGAGTTAGCACAGTATAAGAATTTATCTACAATCTGCTGCCATGTACCGAAACCGAATACATCAGCTGGATTTGTTGAATTCATTGATGTATATATTGAACCAATGGGGTAAATCATCTCAAGAATTGTATTTAATCCATTATGAATATTGAATTTATTATATAATATTGAATTTGGGTGAGTATTTAAAACTGGTCTTGTTATCAATATTAACGTATTATTTTTGAAAATTGCTTTTCTAACATCTTGAAATTTTGTGATTTCAGACCAGTTTCTTCCATCACTACTGATATTTACTAAATCACCACATCCTAAAGCAATGAAATACCATCAATATAAAATAAATTAGTAAATCTATAATTTCGAGTAAGTTTTGGAGTGAATGAATAAACCAATTCCCAATTTGATAAATCTTGTGATAAATAAATATGTCTGTTATAACTTACAGGATATGAATAGACCATACCACCTGAAACAAGAACACAAACATTTGATCCATAACATAAAGCTTCAATGTCTCCATCAGCTTGAAAAATTTGTTCAAAACGACCAAATGGTATTGAATATGATCTATAAATTTTATCATTTTGTAGGATAAAATACATGTTGTTAATGTAATACCACTTACTTGTATAATCAATTTCCAAATCTGATGACATCATACTAAACATATAATAATTTATCCCATCCTCACTAATGAAAATTTGATTGACTTCATAAATTAGTACCCATTTATTATTAACGCATCTAATAGGATTATTTGGATATTTAAATTTAGCATCTTGATTTAAATTACATTTGAACCATTGGATACAATCGAATGAATAACAAGGGCAAAAATCATCTCCAACCGTTATCATTCCCATAAATTTACCGTTATTATATTCAACATATAAAATTCTTGGATTAATGATTGGCTTTCGTGTATCAGGATTCCAAACAGATGGAGTAAATGATTCATAGTTTTTAAAATCATTTGTTTTAAAATAATAAAGCACTCCAGCTGTATAAAATAAATACATGGTCACTCCATCATAACATATCCATTCAAAAGGATCTATATCAAAGGTTTTATCTGATGATTTCATAAAATTTAAAAATGGTGGAGTAAAATAGACCTCTGATTGTTTTATTTCTTCATTAACAAATGATATATCAGCTTTCTTTGCTAACTCAGTATTAATGAATGAAATAACTTTTTCCTTATCTGCTTTCTTCTCTAACTCATCGTTAACATATGTTTTATCTGCTTTCTTCTCTAACTCATCGTTAACATAAGTTTTATCTGCTTTAAGGTCTAAACATCCTGAAACCCATTCTGTATCAGCTTTAACTTTAAAAGTCTCCAATGTCCATTCATGATCCCATTCAACCTTTTCTTTAATTTCATTATCTTTTTCATCAACATAAACCAAATTTGCCTTCTTATTTAACTCGGTATTTACATAAACTAAATCTGCTTTCTTATTTAATTCAGTATTAACGTATTCCTTATCTGCTTTCTTCATTAATTCAGTATTAACGTATTCCTTATCTACCTTCTTATTTAATTCAGTATTAACATATTCCTTATCTGCTTTCTTCATTAACTCACTATCCACATATTCCTTATCCACCTTCTTCATTATGTCATTTAGGAAACCTTCTATGAATTCCTCATTTAAATTAAATCTTCCAATCTTCAAAACTTTAGGAAATGCATTTAATGCGTAATATCTCTGTTCTTCTGGTGGAATTGATGTTATATCATCCGTTATTCCTTTAATTTTTGAATTCATAAATAAAATTTCTTTTATATTTGATATCACTGCACCACCTTTGCAAACGAATTCGAAATGGTCATTTTTCAATACTATCTCCAAATCTCCATATTTCAACTATAGATCTGCAATTTTCCCAAATGAACGGGGTGGATAAGATCCCAGCCCTATCATCATCCCAGTGTCAATTTTACAAAAAAAAATTCTTAATAAAAAATTTTTATTAAAAAATTCTTATCTTTTTTCATTGAAATTTAAATAATAAAATAAATTTGGCTGTAAAAACCATCAATTATTATAATTCTTATCGAAACACATGTAGAAAAACACTTATCTTTTATACTCTTTCTATTTGAAACCTGTTTAGTTCAGTAATTAATAATAAAAATTGTGAAAATAGTGACTATTTAACTAAAAATATATTAAATGATGTAATAATGAGATATACATATATTTTTACGAATTATAATTAGAAATTATTCTGGTCTGGGAATCCCAACCCAAAATCATTGAAAATTTGAATATATGGGATGGGCTACCCATCCCAAAACTATATTGAAATTTTTGAATTGATAATAAATGTATCTATATCTAAGGTATATTAGAGAATTTTTAAAAATTATGCATTAAAAAATTGAATTTATTCAAAACAAATTGAGAATAAAAATGCTTAAGTAATCACTTCATTATTTCAACAATGATTGATGCAGTACCGACGTACTATAAAGACATTGAGGTCGGTACTAAGCATCAGTATCTTAGATATAAAAAACCAGGCGACAAGTACGGAAAATATTATGTTAAATGCAATGAACTAGTAAAGCGTCCTGACGGAACTATATGCCACTGTGCAATGGAAGAAATGCGTGAGGATCATTTCAAAAAATGGATCCAAAACAAACGGCACATATGCACACCAGGAGAAGTAGCATCACAACAAACAATCGATCAATACTATCAAAACGTCCCAGCAACAGGGCTTACACCTATATCGTTAGGGGATATCTATGAACAGCTTGCTACATTTACTGGAAGATTTAACTTGGCTCTGAATACCTTCTCAAGCCCAGAGTTTACAAAGCTAGTTAAAACCATTATAATGTATACTGCAGACTCGATGATATTGAAGTTCCCACAGTTACACAATGTTAACATCAATGTTGATAAACTAGCTTCTCAAATATACCAGCCTATTTCAACTGACAAACTAAGGCAAACAATGATACAAATTGCAAATTCAATCCATGTTGCAAAAGTTGATGAGTTTGCTAAGCTTGCCTGTACCTGTGTTGCCATTGATGAGGGGAAGACTCAGCAGTTTCACAATCTGGACTTCTCCCTCACAAATCCTCTGCAAAGCAAGCGGCCCTATCCTGTTGAGTCAATCCAAATGAATGGTGGAACATCTGAAGATTATATCCACTCGCTTACTCAAGGATTTAACAGAATCTTCATTAGAGATGTTAAGATCAGCAGTGTAGTTTGCGATGGCAATAAAGCGCAATTGAAATGTTTTCAGAAAGGATGGAATCAATCGTTCTACAACTCAAATGACCCAAGGTTATTCAAAATCTTGTTTATCCCGTGTTTATGCCACAGGATTCATAATTGTTATCAATATATGACAACAAAAGACGTAGCATTAGGAGCAATTGTGAAACATATCCACGAAATATCAGCTCTTTGTAGAATCCATGTTGAAGACATCGGAGCTCTCTGTCCAAAGCATGTATCCACCAGGTGGATCTATGATTATAATATTTGTATGTTTATTATCAAGTATCAAGACAAAATTTCAAGATATACGCGTATTGATATTGAAAACATCAAGTTCTTAAGAGACTGCTTGGCAATTCTCAAGAAGCTTATTTCCACGTTCGAATCAGATAAAACCAAGATATCTGATTGCTACGTATGGCTTTGCAAGGGTATTGAAGCACTCCAATACCTTTCCAGCAGCAACAACAATCCTTTTGCTGGAATCCTTTCAAGATCGTTGTTGAACTATACCCTTGGATCGGACTTTGGAGGTCTTTGGTGCTTAGCCTTCGCTTTTACACCGAAAGGTAGGTATTATTTCAACCAAAAATTCGTCCACGGAGCGCAGATCAACGAATCTCCGGCAATTAATTCATTTGATATTACAAACGTAACTTTCGTTAATCCAGTAGAAGACATTCAATCTATCTATATGGACTCTATCTTTGAAGAAGGTTCGACTGAAGTTTCTCTTGATATGGTTGAGGAGGGATCAATTCGTCAGGTAACTGCTACAATTGACCCTCCTATGCTTGATCTCGCAGATGTAACATCTAGTTCAAATCAGCCGGTTAACCATTTTGTTGCAGCTAGGCAGTATCTCAAAAGTATTTTGGAACAATTTCGTATTCCGGGTCAAACAATAACAGATATTATTACACTATTTAACACGTATATTAATAGTGATAATGATATCTTCTCTGATGATATGATTCAAGAACGTCAAGAATACGGTTGGGAAGAAATCTCTCATAGAGATGGCAATGTATCAATCTTTGCAGATATCGCCCTTCGTGTTATCTCCGCTTCACCTTCAGAAGCAACATGTGAGAGAACAATAAAAGACCAAAGATTGATACTAAATTTGAAAAGATTACGTTCTCACAAAATTTTATTAGATAGCCGAGAAATTTTAATGGCTACAAAATAAATATCTATATTTATTATTAAAAATTTTTTATATTTTATCTGTTCAATATTTATCTCATATAAAAATTTGAAATACTTAATCAAAATTTCTATGTGTTTGTTTGAAAGAGATCGATAGCAATTCATATATCTTTTGAATTTGCTAATTGTGGTGATGGTACTATTATTATTAATTTTTTATTTTTATTTTTTTTTATTTTTTATTTTTTTTTTTTTGATAATATACTATTTAGATTTATACATTCATTCAATATTATGAAATAAATATTTCTAAATTGATCTGATTAATTTTTCATTAAAGTTTATATTATAACCAAATAAATTTTCGAACCCTTAGAGTCATAGTTCAATGGTAAGAGTCATAGTATAATCGTAAAGTCCATTGGTTCGAATCAAGGGGATTTTCACACTTTTTTCTTTTTTAAAATTTCAGAGGTTTATTTTTAAGGTTCTCGCTGGCGACCCCCCGTTCGTCGAAAAAAAAATTTGATTTTTGCTGGCGACCCCCCAATCACCATTTTTTTCGACGAATGGGGGGTCGCCAGCGAGAACCTTAAAAAAATCCCAAAAAAGGTGACATTTTGGGTGTATCGTCTATCCCAGGGATAGAAAAATGACTTCACCTTGGATCTATATTTCAACCTTTGCGTTTGTTCTGCCGTCTTTGAATTATATGCATATGTAGCGTATGTAATGGTCTGAAGGACCTGGGCGCTTTGCGCCTTAAGTTGCTGTTGTTTAATCATTTATTACGATTTAAAAATAAATATTTAATCCGTTATCTCATCAGCTATTTTCTCTATTTGAAATTGCCATAATATTTCATTCATAAATTCTAAATCACAATCAAATAGGTCAGTTATTCTAAATTTAATATTTGATAAATCTTTTGAATGAAGAATAAATGAATTCCCGGATAATTGAAACGGATATGATAAAGAAAATGTGTTTAAGTTGATGGATAAAATGTTTTGTATTGATGGGTAAGAGTTAGGGTCTAATGTTTGATGTGAAAATCTCATTGGGGTATTAACTTTATCACATTTGATTAAAATGAAATTGGAACCAGTGTCAGAATACAAAACATCCCCAACATCTTTTTCAAAATTTAATATCCCCAACAATGAACGAAGATGAGGAGTACAAAATTTAATTTTCAGCGGAATTTAATAAGGTTATTTATTTCATCAAGTTCAAAAAGTTTATCGGGTTTTGATTTAAAATTTTCTTCATACCATACGATAAATGATTCATTTAAATAACTTAAAATCATGTTAATATCCCATTTCGCTATCACATTATTTATATACATATCATACGTTTTTTCAAGGTCATCTTTAATAAATGATATATAATCTGAAGGGTCTAAAAGAATGGGATTAAATTTACCACTCACAGAAACGAGAGTAACATTATAAATTCCGCTAACTGTTAAATTTAATTCACAGTTATTATTCGAAATAATATTGATAATTGACATTTTTTATTACGATTAAAAATATGGTAAAGCGTTATTTTCCAGTGATAAATAAAACTAGAATAAGATTACCTCAAGAATTCATAAATTCAACGAATAAGAAATTCATTCATGTTATAAATTTTAGTGTTTTCAGAAAATATGAGTCAGTGTCATATTCATCAACAGGTTATATTTCACTTCATTCAAATTTAGTTCAATCAAACCCATATAATGACCATTTCATAAGATTTTCAGATGGTATTAAAAATGTAATTGATAGATTAAAATATGAACAGATTGACAATATCGAATTTTTGGAATTTTGGTTTAAATATCCCGATGGAAAAAAGATTGAAGTTAAAGATAAAGCTGATACTATAACAAAAACAATTACAATGACCGATCCGGATAGTGGGGAACAAAAAGAAATAAAACAAACGATAGAAACTGGTGAAAGGTCAATTATTATTGATTATGATTCAAAGGATTATTATTCGATAATGTTAATGCTTGAATATTAAATAGCCTTAACAAAGAATTTTTCAAGTGATATTTTATATTCATCAACTATTTTATTATAAATATCATTATATGTTAAATGAAGTTCAGTTGTTGTTCCGTTCTTTGATATCTTAATTGTGCTAATATCCTTTATAGGATTTATTTTTGCAACTGTTCCGCAGCATGAAACCTCATCATCTATGAAAAATTGAATATTAACGTCTGAATCTTGAACATCACAAAGAATGGCGATAATGTGAATTAATGATTCATAAGGTAAAATAATTAAACCGGATTGATCAATTAAATTTATTATTGAATCATAATTATTAATTATTATATCACGGTAAATTTTCATTAATTCAGAATT